AGTTTATGAGCTTAGAAGAAGCTAACTCTGATATATATTAGTTATCACCATCGAAAATAAGCTGCATTTGATATCATTTTCAGTGGAATAATTTTGAGATGGAAATCCCCGTCCAATCATAAAATAAATTCTATTAACACGAAATAATACATAAAATTAGGCAAAAAGGAGCCTTAGACTGGCGTTGGTTTATAGTAAAGCATAGATTTCGAGAGTTTTATGCGTTATGTCTCTTTTCTTCAAGGAATAAAAGTATTCTGAAATAATATATTGCAGCGACTTAGTACGCAGAAGAAGCTGCTCCTTGCTTCGACTTTAATGAAGGAAAAATACAAGTGTCATCCGGCCTTTCTTAAATAAATAAAGATCTCGTACTCTCTCAATTTTCATACGCACTTTTTGTTTCCTAAATTCATCATTTATTCCGTTTGCTCGGAAACCTAAATCTAAATAGTGTTTCGCTGTTGGCGGTAGCTGCCAGACCAAGACGACGTTAGGTCTGCCTCTTTATTCCTGCTGCTTATTCTTCCATTCAAGGTGACACTTGTAAATATTTATTACTAGTCACATGATTTTCTTGAGCAGTACTGTGAACTGAAGTATCCGTCATAGGTTTTGTAGATAAATATAAGCTCCGTCCTAGCAGCTTCCCGTAGTTTTAAAAAAAGATACTTTCTTCATTTGAAACATCAAAGAAAACTTTTGCTTAGTTACAGAGCTTTAACTTTGCATTCAATCAATGTAGACAGGGTGCTCAGATATTTGATTTACGATATTACTCAGATATTTGATTGATCTTAAACTTTTCATAATGGATATGGATATAACCTGTCAGGTTTTGTGCCAGGAATACACCATCATATCATATCATAATGGATATGGAATTTTCTAAACTTTGCCATGCATGCTTACCCAAAATGACAGATTCCATATAAACTGGAATTCCTTAAACTCAAGTTAGTTTGACTCCTTTTAAAAGATTAAAGGGACTAAAACCAGACACACATGTAAAGACCAAACTCTGTGTGATATTTGTAAGGAAAATGGACACTTTATTTTTGCGCCAATTATAATTTTAAGAACTTAGCAAATTTAGTAAGATTCACACAATCAAGTATTTGATGAACAAATTGTTGAACGTGTTTTCTGTAATTTATTTCAAGGCAAATAACTGTTAGTCATACTGTAATTTTGATGTTTGTGCTCGGTGCACAAATAAGCAACTGCGTAATATTTTATTATAATTCGTACTTTCTCTTATGACTTCTTCCTGATAATTAGTATTTAATTGATCTGAGTTCCCGTTATCATAGATAAAGTCATTAAAAATATGTTGATTTGCTCATCATTTCTATTATTCTTTTATTTATAAATGCGCTTTATCGAAACTATGCCTCTTGTGACTACATACTGTAACTCCATATTTCCACATAAATTGCGGACTTTAGTATTACAAAATGTAACTCCATCATATTTCATATCCTTTTACAAAATGTAACTCAATATTTCCACATAAATTGCGGACTTTAGTATTTCGTGACAATTTTTTTAATTTTTAGCATTTTTATGCATAAGATTTTGACCTGTTATTTAGAAAAATTGCAGATAAATTATTAAAGGGCTATTAGCATTTAATGGCTTATTTAAGGTACTAAAATTCAGGAATTATTAATTTGCCGAATTCATTTCAAACTGCAGACCTTCGAATCAGTTTTAATAAAAAGAAGACGTATGATTTTTTTAAATACCTCTACGCATATTTTCTTTCCTCAAGCTATTTAGGCAACTTCAATTCGTGAACTGGACACACCATTTGCCGAATAGTTAAGATTATTGAGCATTTGTAGTGCGATCCGGATTCAAATCCCAGCATGGGTTGAATAAATGAGATTTCGTGATTTTTCTCCATGTGTAACATAAATGCGAGTTAGTTTCCCTTGGTATGGTCTCCACATAAGCATCCCTCTGTTTAAGTAGATAGCCTTAGTTTGCTTTGCCAGAGTCAAATAATACAAGATAGTCAAAAAAAAAAAATCCTTCCCAGATATATGAACCCCTAGTGGTCTATCCATTCAACCAATCCGAATGAAATTACAGATATTGTTGTTTGAAGGTAACTCTATATTGTGATGATTAAAAACGTTAGAGCTGTTACGGTTAATGTGAAACAATTTTGAAATTGAACGGAGAGGGGAAGAAACCTTTTATTGGAGTTACAAGTTTTCAACGTGCCCACGTTCGTAGATGATAAAGCCTTGCATGCGGGAAATTGTTTACAACAGTGACGAGTATAATATCGCAAGAACTTCACGATATATGGCATCTTTCAGTTCTGACAGATCTCGTGGATTCGATGTATATACCTTAGATTTAAGATTAATCCAGAAATCCATCGGAGTAATGTCGGGGGGAAGGGGTTTCTGCGGCCACGAAATTGCAAAGTTACCGGAGATGAGTCGAAACGTTGCATCTGTTGAAAACTTGTAATTCCAATAAAAGTCCCCCTCCATCCTGTCTTGTATTGTCACTGGTCCTTTACCGTGCTTTTCTTTGTAAATGTCTTACACCGACAATTCTCGTCACATTTGTATCGTTCCAAAGCATTTTATGGATTTTCAATGCGCTGATGAGTTTGAGTAGGGAAAAAAAATGTTTGATTTGAAAATTTCGAAATGTTCCCATAACCATACCTTAGCCCTATTATTTTAAATCATAATGATCTGGAGCGCATACGTTCAAATAACAATATCTGCAATTTCATTTCGATTGGTTGAGCAGGTAAGCCGCTAGGAGAATATTGTAATTTTTTTTTATGATCACCCTGTACAATCCACTTCCTGAATTGGGAAAAACCTCAGTTTTTCATTGTAGTAATATGAGCTAGTAAAAAATAATTGACCTTATTTAAATTTTTAATAAATGCCTCTAAGATCCTCTGGTTACTTTCATAAGTTGCTATACGCAATTCATTTGTAGATTTCTCGAATGTTTACTTCTTTAAATCTGTTTCGGATTAAAATTTAGGATACGGATTTATTTGAAAACATTTTTCTGTTGACTTTTCACAAACAACATTCACTGAAGTACTGGAAAAACGTGCTCTTATAACTGATACCAATCACTTTTGCCGTGAACATGTTTAATTTTGTCCTAGTCTGAATGACGACTAAGATTCATTATCCATAACTTAGGCAAAACAAGTGCAAGTCGTCAAATGTACACAAAGGTTTAATATGAAAGAAGTATCTTTCACTCGCAAACTATCTTTTGGCAAAAACTGTTTTTAAAGATCACCAGATTCTGTCTTTATAAAGTCCGACACATGAATACGTGTCATAAAATGTGTCTTTTGATCAAATCTTCTTAAGTTTTCTTATCTCAATCTTCTTAAATTCTTTAATCCTCTTTAGTATAGAGGCTTATTTGATACATATAGTAATAAGTTATATTTGTGTTTATGGAATCGCATAAACTTTATTCTCCCTGAACAAAATTTTTCACCACTTCCATTGTGTACGCAAGAGCTAAGTGGGTTCTCTCTTGAAATGTTATTCTAGAGCTTGGAAAGTATTGTTGTTGATAAACGTCTTTAAGGGAATGTTGTAAACTTCGCACTTGCCGATTAGTTGTTTTTGAATCTTCATTCTGATGTTTTTGATTTTTTTTAAGCATTCAACTAAGCATATTTAAATATGGATAAAGCATCAGATACAGAAATTCTACTTGCTTTTTTTTATTAAGATTTTTATAAAAATTTAATCATGCATTATATGCTGTTCACATACACACGCAAAAATTTTTAAACAGCCTTAATTAAAAAAATTAGGGCAAAAACGCATTTGAAGGAATATTTTCAAAAATTTTTAAACAGCATTAAATAAAAAAATTAGGGCAAAAACTCATTTGAAGGAATATTTTCAAAAATGAGTTCTAGTACTTTAAGCCAGAAAGCTAAAATTATATATTTCACAAACAGGCAAAGAAGGAGAGTAACATTCCGTATTAGCGTATATTTCATCAAATGATCTATTTTTTTTCTATAGGATGCAAGGATAGCAATCCTTATATTTTATGGTAATCATGGTAAAACTTTTTTTCTATTTTTGAATTATTGTTATGTATGTGTGTCAGCTATTTTTCATTGATTGAAATCAGTTTTCTAGATTCTCCGAATTAGTTCTTGATTTTCATCGTCTCGCAATGAAAAGTGCGTGCGTTAAATTTTGTTAAGTAATTGCTTGCAAGTAAAATTGTGTTCATATTTATGCTGGTATAACATGTTTGTGGATCAGCAGAGAATTTGAAAATTCTGCAAGACGTGGTGTAACACAGCTAGCATTTAACACTGTCATATTAACGTTCTGAAAGTATTGTGTCCACAGGGTTTTTATTGGGTAAAAAACTGGTATCACTCACAATTTTTCTGAAAGTATTTTTGCTCGAAAAACTAATAATTTTCAATTGAGACGCTTGCTTGCTAGAAAAGCAGGGAAGAGCTGATATATCTGTTCTGTGCTTCTTTAAAAGAAGTGACCCCGCTTTTATATTATTTCTTTCCGGAATAAAAGTGGCTCAAAAAGTGCATATATTTCATTAGTACAGTACATTCATGTGTGCATTTATGTGTGCTTCATATGTCACTGCTTCTTATTCTACCACCCACTCGCATTCTGCTCTTTTTAATGTGCACGAAGAAAACTATGAACTTATTATATACACAATGTATCATTTGATTGGCATCTCTTCTTTGACAAATAGCCTTCATGTGCTTTGCTTCAGTCAAGTCATTAAAATCATACTTAAATTTCTAGAATAGGACACTCTTGTTAGCTATTAATCTGCAGTGCTCTTGTAATATGTTGATAAGTGAGTTTGTTTCAGTAATGAAATGTAGAAAATTGGATGATGTACAATTTGTAATTATTTTAGGTGACGTTTATGTTATTTTACATGAATTTATATTTTTTCAAAAGTTTTACAGCGTAATGATTTTTTTCCAGGTACTCAAGAATTCTTATGAAATCTAAATAAATCCAAGTACAGGATAAATCTACTTGGCCTTCGTTAAGGATTCAATAAATTGCCAACCTACTTGCAATTTTTGATAAGTAAGTTAGCTTTTATGTTGATTCCTAAGTTAAACGTTAAGATATTCGTATAAAAATGCTTTAAAATTTAAAAAAGGAATAGAAAAGATATCATTCATTTGTAAACGAAACTTGAATACGACTTTAAAAAAATAACATAATACAGTTTATTGAGATATGAAATATCAGGTTCAGTTTAGCATACTTTTCGTCTTTTGTTGAATTAAGCGTGAAACCTGGTCATACTTCCACTAAGCGCCCTTATCTTTTCAAATAAAAAGACTAATTCTTAACCCTACATTGCAAAACAATTTGTTTTAGTCCCAAAAAATATATGCTTTTAAAGTGTCTTGTTAGAAGGATGAGGGGGGGATGTTTTTAGAAGCATTTTCTTGTTTTATTGGGTTTAACATTTTTTGTGGGTTATATAAACTAATTTTTAATACTGTAGCCATTTAGTCGGCTATTCAGCAAGGAAGAGAAAAACAAATTGATAGGGTCCGCCTTCTTTTGCTTCACATCAAATAACTAATTTTAAATTTCTAAATTCTTTGAGCCTTTTTTTAATCCCTTCCTGTGTCATTTACCTCGACGAAGCTTGGGTCCAAGTGTTTTGGTGGTGAACAAGCCAGACTGATACTTGAAAACAATCACAATACGAGCCAAAACGTAAATTCCTGTGTTATAGGTCAGTTTTGCGCGATATTGCTGGCGTGAAAGTAAACTTTAATCCTTCTGCCTTTCGTAGATATTATATATATATATTATATTTTGTAATAAATAACATTTTCAAAATTATATTTCATAAATAAACAATACTTCGAGTTAATCCTTAGTGGAAGTAAACTTTAATTCTTCTGCCTTTTGTAGATATTATAAATATATTATATTTTGTAATAAATAAGTTTCAAAATTATATTTCATAAATAAGCAACACTTCAAGTAAGTAAACTTTAATCCTTAGTGGAAGCAAATGTTAATCCTTAGTGGAAGCAAATGTTAATCCTTCTGCCTTTTGCAGGCTCGTGATGTTTTTGTTTGGCCCGGCTTTCTCTTCACGATCCTGGCTTGTGATGTTTATATTTCTGACAGAATATTCATCACGAGTCAGACTCATTAAAGCACGGGAAGGGGTTAATGCCGTACTGAGAGGGACATACATGTCCCAGGCTCCAGGAAAACGTGAGTGCGTTAATTATTGGCTTGCTGCTATTTGGCAACAACATACGTTTAGTAATAATTCATCTCTCACACTTAATACATATACAGCAAGAACTACAAACAAAAAAGAGGATTTATAAATCACTTTTATGCGCTTTCAAAATGTTATCAATAACAGGAAGCTTCCTTAACTAGTATCTTATTAGGTAGACTTTCTTCTCCAAGAATAAGTTGCTCCACATACATCTTCTACTTCTTCCATAATGCATCTAATACTAGTTATTTTGATTACCAGTGTTGTACAAACTGTCCTGGTGTACCTCCAATAGCAGTTTCGCTCGAGGTTCCTACATTTTGCAATGGACATCTTGACATTCTGCCTGCATTTTCTGATGATACAGAAAGAGTCAGTTTCACTTGAAAACCCTTCTGGATAACAGCTCTGACTTCAGAAGCAACAAGATTTACTATATCATCACTTGTTTTTGTAAATGTATTTTCACTGCTATAAATGTCTTCATCATTCCCACATTCATCTTCATGCCACTAGACACTTCTGTCGAAAAAAAAAACATTCATCAGTTCCCATTAACTAACCATGCTTTTCCATAATAAAAACCTTTTCACTACTCATTTTATTATATAAAACTTATGAGAACAATGCATGAAACTACAGCTCAAAAACACATAACATAAACGGCACGAAATATGTGAGTACCCTGCAGTTGACTGATTAATATAAGTGTATCCCCAGGCTGTGACTAAATGCATGATGTTGCTAAACAGCAAGACAGAATTTTATGTACTCAGAGAGTTGGTCATTGATAAATTTACAGCAATTAAAACAGCAAAAATCATGTCAGTTCTGAGATGTATTGACAAACTCTATTAGCTACATTTCTATACAAATAAAACATCTGGTGATACATATGAATATTACAAAGAACTGTATGCTAAGATCACATATTAACAGTCACTAGATGCGTAATGTTTCAATTTAGAAACACGATAGATGCCTGTGAAACTATGTTGACAAATAGCATCACCATGTAGTAAAGCATCAACTGAGGAAAGTTATATTGGAATATTTTCTGGAATTAATGAGCAGTAAAAGTTCTGTAAGCTTTATTATTATTGTAATATGATTATTTATTATGATTATTCCATTTTCTGTTGAAATCCTTAGCATGATTTTATCCCCAGATACAATGAATATTGCCAATTACGGTAGCCAACAATATTATTTAAAATGTCCCCTTTATATATTATAGGTACAAATTTATCTTTTTGAATGGTTTGAAGAAACAAGTGTTTTTGGTGGCACGATTTTAAATTTAAAGATTTAACTGTATTTCAAGATTTAACTGTATTTTAGGTAAAAATTATAATCATCTTGAGTTATCTTATAATTTAACTTGAATATAATTCAACGTTTTTCGAAATGATCTTATTCTTTTTTACAGAATCCTATCTTCGAAATTTTCAACTTGGTGGAGTTCTGAACCTGCGTCCGAAATGAAATACTGCCGATCTGAAATTTTTTAGTTACATAAGGCAGAGAATCATTAAGACCTATTAAGTTCTTCATTGTGTTGAACGAAACCAGCTTTTGACCGATATACGTGAACTTGCAAAACTCTTTGTAAAAAATATGAAGATGTAATCGAAAATTCTTCTCGTTTGTGAGCCATGAATTTATTTAAATTTATTATAACTGTAGTTTAGTTATTCACGTCATGAGTAGAGTGAAACCAGAGAGTAACACTGAGACCGTGTCTTATACTCCCTCAGTGCCGTCAATCATTCCGGTTGGGTCTTTATCGCCAGCAAATTCGTCTAATTCTGGTATTCCGAGATCACCAAGTCACGAATCTTTTGCTACAGACTTATCTCTAATGTCTTTGTCAAGCCTAGGCTCGGAAATAAATCGGATGCGTGGCTCTATTTTTCGGCCTAAGTCCCATTCTGGGGTTGATGGTGCTGATTCAGGAGATGAAAGACGTAGTCCTGTAATTATGGATGGAGGAGTAGGGGGTTGGGTAGCTCGAAACACAAAACTGACCAGAGGAAACAATAGTGGTTTATTGCAGGTTCCTCCTGAGCAGTATGGTGTGAAACGAGGAGTAGCCGATGATGTTTTATACGAAGAAGAAAATGAGGCAATCCGCAACTGTGGTGCTCTATCTTCTATGTTAGGTTTAATGCGGAGCTTCAGTACTAGCGATCTGGATCAAAATATTTTGATAAATTCTGAAGGTGAAAACCTACGATCATCTGTATCTGAAATGGTTTTGAATAGCTGGAAACATTATGATATGCCTTATGGAAGGTTAGAATACACTTCACGCTCTTGTTCTACATGGGTTGCTGTTGGTGATATTTCAACTACATCTCAGTTGCCATCTCCCCAAACTCTGACGGGATATGCAGCAGAACATCCGGAGATGACGGCCATCGATTTCGTCCGTGCCATCAACAAAAAAGTCCGCCAGATGTATATCCGCAGGCGTCTGGAGTCCACTTACAAGGCGCTAGAACGACTCACCCGGAGTGAACTTAGCTTGGATCTGCCCTCGATTGCTGTTCCTGTTCCAGCAGCTTCCAACAGCGGCCCTCTGGGATCACTTGATGATTCGTCCAACTACCTGGCTACAGATACCCTACGCTCACACGCCCCATTGCCACAGTTTCACATTTCCACTGAGCTCGATCGATCCATTAGACATGAGCTCCAGATTTCTTCTGTTGGTTTCCATGGAGCTAATAAGACTTTAAGCTTAACTGTAAAAGATATCGAGCGAGATAAGGGAAAGCCGCTTTCAAAATACGAAAGAAATATGATGATTTTCAACTGGTTACAGAGCTTAGATGAAAATGCTTTCGATCAGCTGGCATGAGTCTTCTTTTTCAAAAGAAGGAACTCAAAAAGCGAAGCCAAAATATTCTGATATATAAAAATAATAATTCGATGAATCAGTTTCTTTCTACTTTTTTTATTCTAAGCCTTAACCTTAATCATCAGAAAATTAGTTTTTCATTCTCTGCACCGGAAGTTGTCAAAATATAAATTAAAGATCGATTTTTACATTATTTTCGTAAGAATGTATTATGAAATTGTATGTGCCTACAAATTTAAATGCAATAATGAAATTATCTTAAAAAGTTATAAAATTAGTTTAGAAAACCGTTATTGCCAAGTATTGAGCATTTTCTGTAACTAAGAAATATATATTGTTCGTTAATGCTTACTTCTCCATTTTATTCATGTCATCTGTTATTGCAATGTAGTTGAAATTTCTTATCAAGAGAAAAATTTTCTGCAGATCTGTGGACAGTAACTTTATTATGTAAATTAATGGAAATATTCAGTTTGTGATAACTATAATTGTGCAGTTTCGTGTTCTATAAGTTATCTTGATCAAACAGAATGTGTCATAAGCTATTATGTATCATTATTTACATATATGAGTGTTATGTTAAATTTTGGTGGCATAGCTGATGATATATGAATTTTCCTGCGTTGTAACATCATATATTCTTATAACGTTAAGCGTATCATAATGTGAAGTATGTGTTTCCTTGAGGAGAACATTTTATCAACATTTTATCAACATTTTATCATGAATTTATCTGTGAAATCCTTTCCACTAGACATTGAAGTGCTGTATGATTTTAAATGCTTATTATTAGAAAATAGTTTTATGTGCTTGATACATTTAGTGCTGGGCATACTTAAACCAGTGTTTTCCGTGTCTTCTGGGTAATCAGTAAGTACTCGTCCATCATTTTTTAATGGAAATAATCCATCTCTAACATCAACTGCATGTAATAATTATTTCTATCGTATTTTACGATTTTCAGGAAAAACTTGCATTGCTATGAAACTTAAGTAGTTTTATTATATTATTTCCTTCCTTTGCATAAGATGACAAAACATTTTGCCTCCCGGCAAGTTTCTCGTAATTGCCAATCTTTAGAGTATTATGATCTAAATTAGGATTCACTTAAGGCATTCTTTAATAAAAATTAAATGTTTCTTCTAGAAAATAAAAAATAATGAATTAACATTAGCATCAAGATTGTGAGAAAGAAGTCTCTCAGAAAAATGCAGACTTTTTTTTAAAAAGAATGCATTATGATTTTAATTTTATTTAGAAATCCCTCCAAAAAACTGAGAATTTATATTAAAATATATTAAATATTATATGGTTACAATTATTATGAAATATAAAGATCCATTATTCTATTATACTCTGCGAAAAGCTTCTAAAATTCCACATGCCTTGAAGCTCAATGAAAGGAAGAATGGACTTCAAATTTTAGTGTATTATATTATTTTTTATTAATGCATAAATTCAAAATTTCTTCTTGAAATTAATTCCTCTAAATATTCCTTTTTTATTTAAATTAATTGACGTGATTAGCAATAGTTTTTGAACTTATATCTTCGGAGAATTATCTCGTTAAAAATTGGACTAAGTCTTACTTTCCAAAAAGCGAAATATCATTAAGAATAGTCAACTTTACCTGTAGATGAACTAATAAGTTGTTCTGTCTTTTCCTGTTGCAGAATTTAGGATTTTATTACACTCGCATATTTAACACTGCAATGATACTCCTGTGAATTGCATGTAATGGTAACAGTAGAGTGTTCTGTTTTATATATCTGGCTATTCATGTAAAAGAATTTTATATAAATCTTAAACTGTAGATTTTAATACAAGAATTGTGAAAAGTAGTGAAATCCATTGCAAGGAGTTACGATAGGTTTTTAAAATATGCCGGTGATTAATTTGTGTTAGTGTTTATCACATTTCTTTATACTTTTATTACTTGGTGCAGAAATGTGCGACGTAATTTTTTTTTAATTGTCTTAAAAAATGTTATAAACCAAACCGATTTTCCCGGAAGTGTAATTTCAATAAAGCAAAATTAATTCCAAAAATCAACTCGCAGTGATTTAGAGTTTTATATTCTAATGGTAATTTAAAATTTTCGTCCAGTTTCCTAAGAGATGTATTGAAAACGTCTCTTATTTTACTCTTGGAGAGACCATATATGTGATCGTGATGTTAAATAATGCATTGACCTATATTGTTAAACCTTCTTACTGGGTAGAGAGCGTTTATTTTCAATAATTATGTACTGAAAATATGAAATAACCCATGATGCTTCAAATATGGCCTTATGGGCACTATACCATACTTGCTGCATTTTACTTCATTAATTTCCTTAACTGCTATTTTTTTTTAATTTTAAAACACATTAATTTAGAATGAAAGGTACTTAAATTTTTACTCTTGCGTTTTTAAGATATCACTTTTTTGTATTCGTTGAATGTTTTTTCAAAGTTTCTGCTTTAATATTTACACTTATATTTAAATGGTTTCTCTGAAAAGCTTTTAATCATAGTTGTATCAATTATTTCTTGAAATTGTTGCGTCCTATACAACGCATCGCACTAGAGACATGCTAATATATTGTGATTAATAAGTAGTCAAACAACTGTCGTGGTAGCAGTACTTACAAAACTATCGTCTCTTTTTTGTTTTTATGAACTAAGTGACATGTTCGGCATTTCCAGAAATTTAATCTTATAACCTTAAATTAAATTATAATTTATCCTAATGATTTTTGTTCATTTCTAAATTAATTCAGATTTATTTCGATTAAATTTCAAAATTAATTTTTAAATTCATTTGAATGAAGGTATTTCAAAGAAATAAAATTTTGATGTGACTGTTTTAAACTGTTCTGAATTGTTTCGAAAATACTACTGCTTGATCAGATCATTTATATTTGAAACTTTTGAAAGCTATAGGAAAGAAACTAATTTTAAATCTATGTAAAATGCATATATTTATTAACTTTTTTGTCAAATATTTTTTCCATCAATTTAGAAATTTGTAAATATTAATAGATTCTGAGCTTTAAAAATAAAAAAAAATATTATACCTCTTTCAATATTGACAACAAAAATATTTATTTCATCCGTAATGTTTGTTACTATTTCTTTCATTTAAACCGCGGGTTTTAATTATATATGTTAGACCACCCCCCCCCCCGAAAAAAAAAAAAGAAGAGCAATCCTTAAAGTAATTACTTGCTATTTAAAACGAGAATTTCTGCTGTACGTGTAGTAGCATTTTCCTCTACTTTTCTAAATTTGAGATACTTACATATATTAGTTTTGTAATTAAAAATTTTTATATAAAAGGGCAATTAACAATGCGTTGTATAGAACATGCCAGTGCCTGTCTTGTGCCAATGCAATAAACTACATTAAGTTATTTTATATCAGCTATCTAAATAAGGCGCTAACATATAAGAAAGCAATGTAATTTTTGAAATGCTGTACTTCAAAGGACAAATTATGTTTTGGAATACTACCCCTTGCAGTTTGATTTGCTGAATTTAATGTGCGGGAATAACTTAATATGTGTGTTAGAGAAAGAACTTACTTCAGACCCTCGTGTATTTCATGCACAGAAATTGTAGAACTTAAAAGTTGCTTAAAACGATCATAACGTTAAAATAATTAATTATGTTTTATAGCGTACTTCAATAAATTCGCAAAATATTTTCGTACTGCATTTGTTAACTGCACATAAAGATTGTTAAAAAAAACTAAAAGTTAGTATATTTTTATTTTTAAATTTTAAAAAATGTTTCTACTACATCATTGTTAGGCCATATTTATTATTCATTTCTATTTTTTTTATGTATGCTTCATAAGCAAATATTTTAACTTTTATTCCTGCTTTCTTCCCTCTATTTTTAAAGAAATCTTTCCTAAAATCAGAGAGGCTATTTTGAGATGTCTTTGAAACTTTCAAATGGTTTATGAAATGTAGATAAGTAGTATATTATAGTAAAGATATATATGCTGCTGAGAACAAATATTTCTATGCTCAAGCTATTGAATTAGTAGAGATTTAAAAACGAAGTTTTTAGTGTTATTGAATGGTTGAATTTTACCGGTCTGCTCAAATTTAGATAATATCAATTTGCTAAACCTACCATTGCGGTAAAATAAATATTAACAATAAAGATAATTTAAATCTAGATAATCATTTATATATAATATCTTAGTAAATTAATTTATTATGAGCAATTATGTCTACAATTTTGGTCCTTTCTAAACGTTTATGCAGTTTTGTTTTCAAAATATAAATATTTAATGGCTGATATCATTGTAAAAATTAGCTAACATTATTAATAAAACATTTGATTTATTTGAATGAAAAATCATTGCTTGAGTACTTAGAAATTTTACTTTACTATTAATTATTTTCTTAAAAGTTCGTTTTAAATACCATTCACTGTAACATTACCTAAAGCAAATATAATTATTCCTTGGTTCCATTTGCAGTTTTTTCATCATGTTAACTATGTTTTTACTGATAATTAATTGTGCCTCAAATCTTAACGATTAATTGTCTTGGCCATCCAAAGCAGTAACTTTCTTTAATGTTACTCATCTACTCAATAATATTACAGAGACAAACAGTTTGCTGAATCACGTAATTACTATTGAAATGTAAATTTATTTCAATTCATGCATTTTGGTATATTTCTAAGTTTCTTGTCTTGAAAAATTACATTTGTTTTGTATGGATATGCTTGGGTGCATTCCATAGTTAGAGAGCTTAATATACACGTGCTTTAAAAGCTTTGTTAAACTCTTGGATTAGCTGCTGTCGTGTTGTATAGAATTATAATCCAACTCGCTTTAACGTTTTGTTCTGATGGATTACTATTTTTTAATATGTATTTTTATTTAAATTCATTAAAAATTCTTTGAAAACCTTACTTTTCATTAGTATTATTGCATAATATGAAACTGTACCTTGGAAGTGCTTAACGCATACCTCAAAGCTAAATATTGTATGGAATACTTTGTCTGGTGGCAGTTGGATTTCAAAGTTTGCATAAATCCGCTAAGAATGAAAAAAGTAATTTTTATTGAAATTCATCCCCTCAATAATAAATCTGAAGTTGTTTTAATACTTTACTGTTTAAAATACTTAACAGGGGGATAACCCTTAAAACAGCTAAATAAAGTGAATTACTTTTCCATTAAGTCTTAAAAAGTCAATGAGATAAAAAAAAGTAATTTCAACGACTATACATTAATTGTTAGAAAAATCGGGGGAAGAATCGTTTATAATAATTTTATAATTTTTAACCGTACCACTTCTTTTATTTCTTGTGCAATACCAGAAGAAAAACAAAAAGTAATTTACAGTTGTGTGAGTTTGAATTCCATTGTGTCACCGTAACTTGCTGAAATACATCTATCCATATCTTTAACATACGTCATGTACTGGCGTGAAGTATGTATGCATCTATATCTTGTTTCAAAATGATGTTTTAAAAATGAAAGCTTTCGTGTCAAAGGTGCTGAAAAGTATGTGTATCATTATTCAGTTGATTCCAGATGAATTTTATATTCTGTAATCTGAATGTACAAAATAAAATGTTTATGAATGGTATTTTTTTAATATTATTCTCAAGTTGCTCATGCACCAGTTTGAAAATACAAACATCTGGAAGTGAATTCATGAAAACGAAAATCTCTTTCAATGACTGTAATTTGTCTAGGCTAACTGTTAGGCTGTTAAGTATAACCAGCATTAATGTAACATACGATGATAAGAGAGCCAATATAATAAAAATTATTTTATTTTAGTCTAATATCTTTTTCTTATAGTTTAAAGAGATAAATCTTTTAATAATAATGCATTTTCAAAATAAATTTATTTAT